ATATAGTATATATATATATATATATATATATATATGTCATATTTAGTCATATATATATATATATATAGATATATATATATATATATATATTCATCTCTATTTTATGTTCAAGTATAAGATTATCTCATCGAAACATTCGTTGTGCAGTACAACAACTGGCCAGATTTCGGTGTCCCTAAGTCACATCTGGAGTTCCTGACCTTTCGCGATCGGGTGACAGAGGCCTACAACCTCGCGTGTGAACGACACTGGCTACACATGATGCGCATCAATGCAGCGCGGGAGAATGAAGGACATACACGCCGCAGCGCCTCTAGCCCAGGCAGCCCAGGCAGCCCAACAAAGGAGAGTTTACCTGCAGAGGCGAGCGCTACGAGGGGCTCGGGGGTAAGTTTGCACTCGTCGTCATGGTTACCCTCATCGCAATTGGTGTCCGAGGGAGCAAAAGAAACCAACCACGGCCCAACAGGCACACATACAGAGACAAAAATACACACTAATATAGATACGAACACAGTGGGCGATCCTGAATTACAGTCCCATACACATGCCAAGGTCGGGAATCTGAGCCTTAGGAAATTGAGCATACTTAGCAACGACTTTAAACCCGTGAGTAGTTTAGCGAGCATTGCATCTGGGGACACATCAGCTGACTCTCCACCAGAACCGCTGCGGGATGTGCTCTCACGAACACACTCATGGCAGTCTATTGGGCTTGCACATGCTTATGTGGAAGGCTCCCGGAATAGGAGAAGCAGACAAGATGATGAGATATCTGGTGGCAGCGTTAGCAATTCCCGGTTTAGCGCAGCCGACGATGGTTGTAAAGATGGTAATATTGATCGCGAAATTGTTGAATATGACCGCAATAGTGAGAACTTCGCTGTAGGTGACCCCAGCAGTACTCAGTCGATAATATTAGAAGTTAAGCATGACTCAGATGTTGCGAAGACCGTAGGTAAAATGATCTCAGCAAACACTGGGGATGTAGTTTTGGAGGGAACGCCATGTACTACTATTCTAGCTCAGAGATCGGTTGCCACAGGCTGTGGCTCTGGGGAATTGGTCGATGAAGGATTCAGCGCCCGCTCATCAAGGTCCTGTGATAGCTTAGTACACACCGAGGCGAAGTACAGATCATTATGTGACAGTTTAGTACATGTCGGAACCAAAGGTATGACAATGCGTAATAGTGCGGGGCATATGAGCACTAAATGTAAAACACCGAGTGATTGCATAGTGTGGACTGAAGCGAAATGTAAGTCGTCGAGTGACTGCAACTTGTTCATAGATGCAAAGTGTAAGGCATTTTCAAGTGTGCAACGACTATCGAGTGGACTACCTGAGCTGGTAAGAACACAATTCAAATGTAAATCGCCCAAATGGGCTTCTGGTTGCATTACTGCGGGTACTTCTAGCCCCAAAGAATTACAGTCCTCCGATAAAGACCAAGCATACGCCGAAAGACGCCAAACAAACGTCGGAAAGGGCCAAATATACAACGAGAAGTGCCGCCCAAACTGCTCGGAGCGCAGTGAGTCGCGCTCAGTCATTGAGGCTTTCAGCGGGTTGAAGTCGCGTGGATGGTGCAGACGGCCTCTCAGTATCCCGGGGCGAGTATCAAAGTCCGAGGGGAATCTGGTTAAAGCGGCACAGAAGGCATCTGCGCTTGAATATTCCGTTGATGTGGGCCCTCACTCCGCGCTTGATTTGACCAGCAACACTGGTGATTGTGGAAATGCTACTGAAGGGAAGTCGGAGAGTGGTGGTACATATGGGAGGCTCAAGCTTAATAAGCTGAAGCGTACGAGAGCAAAGTCCGCCGGATCTAGGTCGAATATGTTTTCGCGAAACTTGAGTGTGACCATGGAACATAAGAACGGGGGTAATGATGAGATAGAAGAGAAGGGTGATGAGATAGAAGAGAAGGATGATGAGATAGAAGAGAAGGATGATGACATGATAAGATATAAGACGAAAGGAAAAGGTATGCACAGGCCACGGCGACATAGCGAAGAACCCGTCCGCAGGGTTGGGTCGATGCCCGTGGGGAGCGATGTATCGCCTGGAATGAGAGGTGCGTACCAAGGGGTAGGAGAGCGTATACGTGTAGATCACGCAAAACCAATATTAGTAAGTTCGAACGAAAGGGGAATTGGGATACCAACGTGTGATGTTGCACGCAATGGAAAGCATAACCTCCCGCCCATAGGCACTGATTGTATCAGTGACGACAAGCGAACAGGGAAAACGAGCCAAGTTAAATTTAGTAACGGAGGTACGGAAAATGGATGTCACAAACTACACTGGAGTGACGATAAATATACAAACGAAAAATTAAGTAGCTATGATATACAAAGCAATACAGGGAATATAAAAGGTGAGAGATACCGTGCCGATAGCGACATTCGATTGACGACGAGTGCGTCACGGGCGAGTTTGGAAGTTGATAGGTTAGGCGAGGTGTGTGGGGATCAGAATGCCACGGATATCTGTAGAGGCTCGGATGAAAAACGCTACGAATATACACGGAAAAGTGCCCGAATTTCGACAGAAACTACCGATCAACAGTCTCCACCAGAGGATACCTTGCACACTATTGATGGACACAAACGATCCACTTCAGATGGGGGATTTATTGTTGCAGGCAACGATACATCGGATACTACGGAGGTACGCAGTCACCCACATGCGTATGCGCGTGCCCAGAGCTACGCTCCTGGTTACTCGCGTGCACGCACACACTATACCCAAGAACGTGTCACCAACGATGCATGCGACGAGGTGCTGAATAGCACAAATACCTTGAAGGATATGCGAGCGCCTGACATCGCGCCCAAGTTGTGGAGACATAGACTATCTGCAATAGTTCGGGATAGTGTAAGCCAATCGGGTGCCAGTGAATTTGATTGTGGGCGACTGCCGTCGCGGACCGAGCTCCCGACTCTGGAACGTACAAGAACTGTGAGGGGAGTGAACGTAGATATAGCAGAGCACGTGCGAGAACGAGAACTAATAGACCCACACACCAGTGATGGTGTAGGTCCGATCGTACGGACAAGTGCAATGAAAGGGTCGTGTCTATCGAACCTGCAATCGGCGAAGAAACTGCACGAGCGCGTGCCTGCACGTCGTACACAGAGCACACGGGTACCATCGCCTACTGACTTTGATCTCGAGAGCGACAGGTGTACGTTGGAGGGGGCTCGTAGCTCTCTTGGTAAATGCACTGATTCCTCGGCGCGTTACGCTGAATCTGCTTCGGTAGTTTCTGCAGATAGTGCCCATACACGCCAGCCGGACTGGACTGGTTTGGCGACAGCGGGTGCCAGAACCGATCTGAGCGCAAGTGGGAACGCTTCTTTGAAGAGCGATGGTGGTGCCTACCCGCATACATGGGGTCATGATAATACGGGCACTCACTCCTACACCCACGCCCAAGCCAAGCCGACCTCCACATATTCTCTCGACGCCAATTGGACAAGAAGTACCGAACTTCTATTTGCCCAGGCGTCTGCTACCATGTCACCATTGTTGGTACACTGCAGCGCGGGGCTAGGCCGGTCTGGGGTGTACTGTGCTGTGGATGCGTGCCTGGTCACAGCGAGAGAAGACGGCGTTATAGATGTATTTGGCCAGGTTGTGAGCATGCGTCAGAGAAGGCCGATGGCTGTGCAGGTGAGTTCCCTCTTACATATGTATATGTATATATGGTTTTGAAATTCCGGTTTGCGACATGATATATGAATACAGTAAAGGTAGTGGTTTGGCGATTTGGGTTGGAACATATATGGCGTGCACATCTATCTATTTCTAGTGGGTAAGATCTTTATATTAGTACCGACACAACACTGAGTTTGGATGCCGGTGTTTGTATTGGCATGTAGGAATGTCGCAGTCTCAATCGGACTCATTTAGGTTGCTCAACTTATCAGTCATTACTATATACAGCTTAAGGTACTGTGTGATATATTTACATTACACTAAATGTATCGCGCGTAGCGCTCACAGTCCCACTATTTCTTGTTATCGCACAGACTGAGGAGCAGTTGAGGTTCATATTCGATGTATTGGACGCATGCCCATCCGAAACTGGGCGACCCTGAAGAATATGAAATTCTGCTTCTTGTGTGCCACCCTGCAAATACCATACATTTAGCATTCAGTGTGCTTGAATTTTCAGTTCTGCACAACGTTCCGCGTTGACATCAATCCAGCCGAATGTATTGTCAGACCACCACTTAATAGCTAGCCTGTACATGTGACAATTGCCTCGACCTGGGCATAGAATAGGCTTCCGTAATTGCCTGTTATACGGCTACTAAGGTGAAAGATCGCAAGTGGATGAAATTTACAGTGAGCACCACACGAGGGCTTCGCAAGTAACCGGGGTTCGGATACCTAACATTGTGTGACGTATTATCATACACATGATCTAAATTAGAAGTTAGATTAGGTAGATCATGTATATTCTTGATCTTCTCAACCAGCATAGAACAGTAGCATTGCATATTTTATATTGGCTCGATATAGAACTTAGGAACGCACAAGCACCTATCTCGCAACCGTCGCCAGACTCGCAAAATTAGTGGTCTAAATGACGAACCGAGTTGCTGAGCAGACACTTGTATAGAAAATCGGTATTTTCTGAACACTTTAAAGCCTGTCAGACTTCCGACTGTATGTCTCCTACACCGGGGGCGAGTCTTCAGCATGAATTATAGTATACAAGTGCTTACGGTGCGAGAAAATATTAAATATTGGCAGCCAAGCGATTGCCGTCAGACAGCTGACCTCGATTGTATTCTACGAGGTTGCAGTGATTCACCCATTGCGTCCGATAAATCACATGATACTTATCACCCTGTAAGCAACTTCAGACTCCGATATGCTATTAATATTATGTATTGCGTAAACTCGCATGTGATGTGAAGAGGAGATGGTAGTACTGAGACACTCACTAAATTCAACGAAAGATGCTTTCGCGTGTTAGCGACAGTAACCGCCGAAACCTCGTCATCAGTTGTGCGGCTAATTCTGGCAACTATCAACCATCTCTCTTGAGTTATTGAAGGCCTTTTTGTAAATCAAACTCAAAATCTTTAGCGTTCGCAATTTTTTTTGTATCGATCCATCCGCTTGGAACAAACAGAACATAAGCCACCATCATTACATTATCCTTTCCGATACCTACCGAGCCCCATCCTGTGGTTGAAAAGACGACACTTCGAGACTAGAAATTTGGGAATCTCGATAGGACACCAAACATTCATTGTATACATCATGGCCAAATATAAAAGAAATATATCGAATATACGTACCGTCAACCGTCCGTATATTGAACCCTAGCCTATTAAACCTAAACTCGATTCTTTTTTTTGGGTGTGTATAAGGGGCAAAAAGTAAAACAGAAAAAGGGGAAACGGAGGAATGAAAGGGAGGAGAGGGGGGGGGGGGACGGATGAGTTAAGACTGCCGGTATTTATCGTCCCGTGCACACCGACTACGCAGCTAAAATTCCACTGCTTATTCTATATTTCTCTTTATAAGGTGATCCTGCGAGTGAGGATCGATGTTTGCCCGTGCCTGGTGTATTTTTAGTAGGAGTGTCATGTAAATGGAAGGCGATGATCATCTTATCCATGCAAGCCTCTTATCCTAACGATCTTGAATCCTACTAGGTGTCGTGCACGTTAAAAGACATTAGGTAGTGTATTATCTCTAATTTAGAGAATATCCATGGACCATCTTGAGTTCGCGCTGAACGTCTGAAACTACTTCGTCTACATGTAAGACTACCATCATCTTCTAGCCTTGATGATCTCAAGGGATTCATCCACTTCTGTTTGTTGAAATCCAAATGAATTGAGTACTTAATGTTGAAGTTCCATAGCCTGCCTGATTGCTTTAATTCATATAATCTTCATTTTAGACGAAGAACTGTATTTGGTGGATAGCTGCCCAGTTGCACTGCTTCTTTGGGTGGATGCATGTGAACTGGTATGTCCAGTTTTACATAATAGAGATATGTCGTGGTTACTTCAAAGTGTAGGACCTTTGTGAGATTATTGAATGATGCATGTGCTAGGAATGTTCTTAATGTGACTGACAATTCTGCTGGGGTGCAAGTCTCGTATAATATAGACCACCTCAGTCGCTCGACCCCCCTCAAGATGGCAGCCACAGACGACGTCACACTCACGCACGAGCCCCTGTTGGCGTCAAGACAGAAGAATGGATGTTGAATCGCCTCGACTTCCAAAATTCCATGAAATTACTAGGAAGCGAACCTACCATGGACTTATTCGTCTCTCCACAAACGGCAGTTCTACACTTGTAATTTTGTAGCCCTCATGGTGGCGACATTCACACTTGTTGACGCAAAGCACGTCTACATAATGAAAAAACCTATGACAACCGCAATTGGTCCGGCACCAAGGAGTTCATAGACAAAGTTGTAAGCACAAGTGTTAACACTGTGCTGTTCTTGTGCCTCTCCGCCCTCGTGCACAGTCCCAGTCCTATACTATACAGAACTTAGACACTCCACCTTCCTCCGTCACGATAAGGCCACGGTCGGCAGACCCTCCTGGGTTTATACTCTGATAGCTTATTTCGGTTTAATCCACACGGATGCATCTCTCGACGACGACCTACGTTCAGCCATTCTCTATACCCGAGTGTAGAGTTTGAGAGTAGCTTGCAAGTTACGACCAAAGGAAACAATAGACCTCTTCTCAAGTGCGAATCTCACAGCTCGGTAAAGTCCTTGGTTACAGGAATCGCATTGTGTCTCTATTTGGGTTAGTATTTTCTACACTAGACTCAATTTTTACTTAAGTGTTTCTCTCACACGCGGGAGTCCCGGTATCATCTACCGGTATTCCCGCTTCTACTACTAATCACTCTGTCATCAGAAATATTGGATCCTAGATCCAAAACCAATATTTGATAATCCTGGGTTTTGGGATTGGGATTGGCTTTTCAGATAATCTGGTCCCTGGATGCTACACGAGCTCATCCGGAATATCCGAAGTATTGTACATAAAGTGCGCGAAGGAATGTTTCCCACAACACTTCGACCACAAAATACTGTCCTGGAGAACTCTTGCACATCGATCTGCAGGTGCCCCTTTCTGGAGATTAATACGGTAATCGGTACACACTCAACACGATTGACCAAGACAGCGCCTACGGCCTCCACGCCAACCTCCAAGATTAAACAGATATGGTTACCAATATAAACAAGCTACACCTGCAAGCACGTCATCATTGGGAGCCCTATAAACTTATTGCGGATGGAGACACTACTTTCGTCTCAAGGAAACAGAGACAATGCAAGTCTCTAGATCCTACTTCAGAAACCGCCGCCATATACCCAAGCTCACGGGACCTCCAGCAAGATTGCCCGATCATTACTCACGGAAGTGGGGATGCCCCATCAGGCTCTCTAGAGTGACGCCAAGCGTTGGACAGATATAATAAAGAATGACACCCTAGTCACCACGAAAACTTCTATTCTCCGAGTGACTTATGGCACCAGAAATTGATCCCCCGGCCTGTTGACGCCCACTTTGGATGCCTCATATTCTTAAACTTGACGGCAAGGCACTCAACGTACACCACAATTTCGACACACAGGGAGGTTATGAAGTCTTTCTGGATCGTTCGACGATTAGCACCCCCAATACTTGGCGTATCCGAAGTACTCAAACACAGCGCCAATACAATAATCGCAACATCAAGTTCCTACTTCATCTGTGTTTTCAACCATGTCCGATACTCCCCAGTCATTTCCTGAGGATTGGCACGACCCATCCAAACACTCACAGCCCATTGTCGTCCCTTTCGTCTCCTCTACTCCGCCCACGATGTATGCATCGCTAGGAATACTACCCTCTCCAGCCCGTGCCGTTGTCTTAACTTATATCTCTCCTCCGGAAGGTCCCATGTAGTAAATTAAGTGAATGACTGAACCAACCAACCAAGTACTAGGTCGATTGGTTCAGTCATTCAACATATTTACTACAAAACTGGAAGGTACCACGATTATTTCGGTCTCAGTCCGTACGATAGTCGGGCCCATCTAGTAGGCTGGCTAGGAGGAGTCAATAGCATGTCCTGTTTCTCAGTGATTTTCTTACGCTAAATGTATTTGAAAATACAGCGTTTGTCATCAAGTGTCAAATTTTACCCTGAGATTCATTTTTGATTATATCCCAATATTCTGATTGGAAAACATGTCATTATAGAAAAACCGCCAACGTCTACAATAGTATCCATTTTCTATTGTGTACGATTGTATTTTCAAATGTACGATTGTATTTTCAAATGTACGATTGTATTTTCTATTTTGTACGATTGTAGTTAGATTAGTTTGTTCATTTGCATTTTTCAAATGTCTATAGTTAGACTATTCGTTTGTTTGCTTTTTTCAAATACCTACAATTACGTTTCAACGTATCCCAGTATTATAACTAGAAAATTATAATGTTATATACGTTTATAATATACGTTAACATGTGCTTCTACTATTACGAACTCGAATATTTACAAAGACACCTCCAAGCATCCTATCGGTAGCTCGCCTGGAGTCTGAAGTTCAGCCAGCAGAAATCGCTGTTTCTCCGACATCATGTAATTAGAACAAAGGGTACAGTTGTGGGTCATACACCCCACCACCCCTGACAGTGGGTCCACGAGCACCTTATTGTCGCCCATCGGATACTAAAATATATCCCACACATTTTCCGAGAGCCGATACTGGCGTCTAGACCCTAACCTCACCATCATGATATAGAATGACGTGTGGACCCTGCCTCGTGCGTTCATAGCTCAGGTACATGGACTCCTCCGAAGGCACACGTATAGAGACATCCTCCATAAGAGATACTAGGAGCAAAACCCGGTTGGCAAACGGCCAATACGAAGCTACCAGCGTCATCCACGCCCGCTCCTCTGTAATCTTAAGCTGCACTCACCCCAGTAATGACAGCGTAATACGTACTCAGTTGCTGATTGCCTGCAAAGATAAACGCATGCATATCGTGTGGATCCTATTTCCGCTCCAGAAGTTGAAACGACTTGCTAGCCAACTTGTGTTCTTTCGTCGCAACACCTGCACCAACACCTTACCAAAAGATATCCGCAAGTTGGATCTACCCCTATGTACCCGCATGATTGAGTCGATATCTGGACAGAGCCCGCTATGCGCTACCGTAATGCCCAAGTCCCTGATGACCTTATGGCATCTACGTTGCCGACGTCCTCTAAACGTTTTTGGGAAGTCATGCACCTCTCATGCACTCAAGGCCACCATCGACGCATGATCACTCAAGATCTTCGTAGATCGAATACTACGTTTTAGGACCCTGATGTTCTTTTGGATGGTGAACACCCCAAACAACGCCTTGTCCAATAAATGGTAGCCCAGCTGTGCCCCATATATCTTGGATAACCTTGGATGTACAAAATAAACCGTCAGCACCTTCCCTTTTATCTTTACCATACACACGCCATCAATTCCAACATATTTGCGCGCCCGAAGAAAAAAATCAACTGTTCGTCCATCGTTGGTTCCGCTAACGTGGCACAGTGTCATAACGTATGCACACTGCTTGAATGCCCTTTGATGCTGCTCGAACCACGCAAATTTGGCATAGTTTAGAAGGTAGTCGATCCAACAAACGACCGTATGATAGTATGATCTCATCAAATCCCGGGAAGTAGGAGATTGAGCAAAGCTCTTGAAATTCCCACGATAAATCCAAAGCAACCGTCATCACATGACCGCTAATAGCAACGTCCGGTATAGTGAACGACAGATACTTCCTTGACTCCTCTGCAATCTGCACCTGGCGAAAATCTACCTTAGATCGACAGCTGTTATTTAGGTTTCTTTTGACGTTCTTCAAATATTCCTTCTCAGTCGGAATATAGTATGGTTCAGCTTTTAGTTGCTTGTTGACCTGCCTCAAGTTCACACACATCCGGAAATAATCCCCATATTTCGATTCCAGCCCTGGCACTTTATTTATTAAATACGTGGTCGAACACTACTGGCTCCAGTGCGTGGGTGCCAAAATGCCCGATGCATTCCACTTCCCGACCTTGGTTTTTAACATCTGTTTGATCGGGTCCTTCTCTCCATAGTAAGGAGCAGCCGGTACAGTTCTCTGCTTTTTATGCAATACCAGCGTGGTACGTCAATAAATTTAGGCTTATATTGGCTGCCACCATAACTTTCTGCACCAATGTATCTGTTTCACCATTCGGTTTGCCACAAGCCCTGGCTAGCTCATATATATTTGAATAATCGCAAACCGCATCCGGCTCTGTGTACCCAGAATCCTTTTTCTTCTGGTGTGTTATCCCTACCCACGTCATGCAATCTTTAATTATCGGTAACAAAATTGCATTCTGCGCCTTGTTTTGATCCTCCATCATTCGCTTGAATGACACTTCCTGGGTTTGATGCCCATAACTTCATCCAGTGGAGTCGTACACTGAGTCCTACACACGGAAGAATATATCATAGGCTGGAAACGCGCCAGATAGAACCTGTTTGTAGCCAATTGAAATAGTAGCCGAGTGTGTAGTGAATGATACAACCAGTAATACTGGCCCAAAGCAAGGGTAGCACTTGAATGCACATGGTCCAAATAACCCGCAATAGGGAGATGGCATACATATACATATGAACAGTTTAATTAGCTCTGCACATGTCATTGAAACGCACATCATCATCACGCAATCACTGTGCTTCACAGGCCGAACGTCCTAGGAGCTGACAGCAAGTGGTAAATTCGAACAGAACCAGGACATCTCTAGCTGGTGAAAGCTAAGTTCTAGCACGGATACAAGAACGCCCCTAAAATACATCTCTATCGACTGTAACAGCAACCTTATTTTGTTCTAAGCTACTCTCTGGCCTCTCCTACTATTACATGATATATGAATACAGATTGGGAAAATAAACTTGTAAAAGCGGCAACAGAACGTGAGGCGAGAATCAAGATAGTTGTACTGGACAGCACGCCTCAAGTACATAGAGATATATACAGGTGATTGTATCATATGGAGGGATATCGAAGGAAGGCGAGTTTCTCCGAACGGTCATAGATTTGGGTAAGATAGGTGTGGATAATCTGGCAACGTCTGTAGGTGCCTTTGCAACGTCAAGTATCAGTGGTAATTGGAGCGACAGAGCGAAGGTATACACTGGTGCGTCTAGTTACACAGGGTATTTTGGTTGTGGAGCTATGGATCATAGGAAGTTTATAAGCCCAGTGGTAAAGAAAAAGAGGGCGCTAGTGGCAGCAAAGAAAAATAAAAAAGAGCAGTCTGGCCAGGCTGTGACTCGCCCGAACTTTCCTCCAGTCCGGAATGCTGGAGCTGTTGGAGGTGTGTGGATGTACACACCCACAGGACCTGAAGGAAAGGAGGGAGAAATAGAACCGGCTACGGCCAGTAGTGGGGCGTCAAGAAGTTCAGTGGTTTTGATGGTAGCCACTGTAGTCCCTTCCATGGAGCAGAAATTAAAATACAATAGTGAACAAGCTCAGTGGCAGGAGATCCATCAGCAAAAGAATATTGACTATGGCCATTGGCGATTGGGTATGTATAGGGTGTGCGTGTGGACATTTATGTGAACACGGGAGCAGTCTGCACTCTGATATTAGTATAAAAACATGAAACACATGGGGACAATGGCCAGACGATACGATGTTCATATCCAGCTATTGCGACGCTGGGGACTCTACAACCGACCGGTGTAATGAATATTGGTGTAGTAGTGAAGTAGTGGCAGGGGATGGAGAAAGTAATCTTGTAAAACTGCTTGGCAGTTACGTTCCTACCGTATGACTGTGCCCTGTTGGTAGGTTATCTTTCAATACAACGATGCCAGTGGCATTTGCTTTGGAAAGTGAATAAATTGGCGATAGTACCTCATTGTGACTTGAGGGTGGCTGTGGAAGGATCAATAAAGCTTTCCAAGGTATTGCCTTCTACGCCACTGCATGTGCACTGAGGAAGGATGGCAGCTGTTGTTGTCCACTAGGAACAGCTATATTTTCCTGTTTATAAATCTTCGGTCTCTTTGCACCGTTTTCTCAATTACGTCAAGCCTAAAAACGCGCTTATATAGTGAAGGTTTTTTTTGGCCCCCTTTAAAGCGCCTGCCCGTTGTCTGTATTGCACCCACAGTGACAATACACGCAAAAAAAGTACCTCATGTATTAATATCACAATTGAACCACACATATATAAATTATTATCATGTAGCCAGTTCTGGTCATTGTCTATCAGCAAGTCTATTTTTTACTACTAAGTGCGACATTGTATGCACATTAAATCAACTGGCATCTTGTAGCAACACTTCACTGACAGAACACTGGACGGTTCTGCGACAGATTCCTCTTTACATAGCCGCGCCACTACGTCATTCACACTCGCTTACAGACCTAAGAAGGTAGGACAGACATCGACACAGCAATACAGGCTTAGATGTAATTATGTATACTCGTATCCAAATAGTTATGATTTCGAGTGTACAACCATTTAGATAGTTCCAAGCTAGTAGTCATAAGTTAAGATTATGACCAAGAAAGACAACACTCCTTCTAAGAAGCGTAGAGCTGAAAAGAAGAAGATGGAGAGAGAAGTTGCTAACGCTGCCGCAGCTATTACTGCTGCGCAAACAACCGACGCCGCTGCTGATGCATTTAAGCGCACTGTAGCCAAAGCACTTGCCTCTGACAATTATAGTCAAAAGGACAATGCTTCAGATAAGGAAGTAGCCACTCCGCTTAAGGAGACTACTCCTTCTGACAGAGCCCGAGGGCCAGCTATAGCCTCAACTTCAAAGCTATCATTAACGAAGCCAAGAAGTGAGACAAGGGATACGTCGCAAGACACCCCAACCCATTCTTCTGACGAAAATCAGAAAGTAAAGTCCCCAATTATGAGGGCGTCTCCAATTATAGGGGACAAGGACAAAACTCAGAAGGAACCTATTATGGAACCAGAAGAGGAGGCAAGAGTAGCAAAACCGAATCTACGTCCGAGACTTCTAAGCCGAAGCACATAAGTAAGCTATTTACTAAATACGCTGATCTTAAGAATCAGTTAGCTACTATTATGAAAGACTTGACTGTCGAGCATGTAGATCAATTAGAAAGATCAGGAAAACATACACAGCGCTTACGCGAGCATGTTTCCCCGGGCATTACTGAAGCCCTACAGAAGTGGACAGAACGTCGACAGGCAATTACGCCCAAAGACTCAAGCTCGACACCTGAGTCATATGATCCAGAGATGCACAGTGTCGATATACCGTACGAGGCATTACTGCCAGAAGGACAGGCTAATCATTCGCATGTTCTGACATCTGGTCGTGAGTCACCTGTCCTCAAAGGTATTATAGACCGAGAGGTAAGGAAATATACTCCGCCACTTGTACCCAATTGGGAGGACAATCGTCGGAAACCAGTAAAGACTGGGTATGTTATTCCGACGCCAAGGGATATTAATCATCCCCGCAGACGTGTGAACGATGTCGAGTTTAATTGCTTCGACCGCACGGCTTTACACCAACCCGCAGAGGATTTCCACTCTGACAAGGTGACCGACCTTAATAAATCGGTCGACGACTATACCAATAAAATGGAAGTCGCCCATGCTGCGCATCATGCTAATGACGTAGCATACTATGCGAATAGTATTGCGATTAAGCAAAAGCGCATTGATCAGTTACTTCAGGCCCAACGTGGACAAGACTACAGGGACAACCAGAAGTACAAGGGACAGATCAGTCGACTTAAGTCGAACTGGGATGCCAACAGCAAGCAGGTCGAGTTTATAAACAGTCATGACCTCGACACGCTAACTTGTACGCTTAATGCGTTTACGGTCATGCTGGAGACGAATGCTATCGCTCCCTAGCAATGGATCTCTGCCTTAATGCATACATTTGACCCTACAGGTACCAGTTATCTGGTCCTGCAGCGACACCAGCATGAGCTTGACACTTGTCGTGACTGGTCAGCTGTGTGTTGGTTGGTCACATCCTTGTTAAGTAAGGATATGCGTAGCCCTGGGCTGAGTTCAATTATAAATGAACCAGCCGAGAACACGCCCATTCAGAGTTTTATTCTGAAGTTAGACGCTGACCTGAAACGTCCCGATATAACAAAGGACAAGGCACAGCGATGGTACGAATTCCTGGTTATGCACGTGTTCTGTAAGAACATAGGGGCTAACGACCGTGAGAGTTT